GCATTGTAAGCTATTCTTTGTTTTCATGCATCATTCCTTTGATTCAATTTAATGTGATTACACACTGCACATTAGCTGGTGTTGCTTGTCCTTGTATCATCCCCTTGAGCGAGGGCTGAGCGCATCAGTGATCATATTCTGCCCCTTAGTGGAGGAAACGGTCCATAACCCGAGTGAAACATGATAATTGGAGGCTTGATCTGCAGAGGCTGGATTGTGGACAGCTCCTGACTTACTGCTTCATTCAGCCTTGGACAAAAAGCAATCTCACCTGCCGGCTTCTTAGATTTAAGTAACGTAAATCTGTCTTTCCTTTCAAACAAAACCTTCTCCAAGAAAGAGTAACTCCCATGGCTCTTTAAAAAACACACTGCCACTCAATGTACATGTAAATCCAGGGTTGTGAACATGAAAAACATCCCAAACTAGAAACTAAAAAAGAATGGAAATCCAAGTTTGGATTGAAATAAACTGGCTTCAAAAGCTTCTAGCTTGAGGGTTTTTATATAATCAGAATGCACCGGAGAATCAAAACCAGAGAATGAACCCTGATCCCTACAAATTCATCCAAAAATATGTTTCTGCAAATCCCTCTCAGTAGGGCTGCCATCACATTAAGACAGGGGAAAACTGCCTTATAACTCCATCCTACTGCAGCAGCAGTGAATGTTCACCATTACGTTTCAGTAAGAGGATTTTAAGTCCATGTAATTGCACATACATGTGTAAAACAAATGTGTAACAAATCCTATTGGCAACAAGGATCCTGGTCCTCCCTAACACAACATATGGATTCAAAATGTCATGATTTGGGAATGCAGAGCGGTTTATACAGGCTTTTCGAAACCAAATGTTTGTAAAAGTGACGTTTTTATAAATGTTAATTACGGTCATACATGCCATTCAATTCCGTTTGCTCTAATGCTGCGTCACACCGGACGCGATGTGAATATTTGCTTCGCTCTAATCGCATCGCTCTAAACGCTCGAGTTTCACCGCGGCTGCCAGCTGTGTTTACTCGCATCATTCAAACAAGACGTGCTGGCTCGGGAGCTACAACAAAATGAACATATTTTACCGTGATTAAATTGTAATACACATTTCTAAATGATGCCGAAGTAACAACATACTGATACCGGTTAGTAAAAACCATGAATTAATGCTTTGACAAGTCTGCAGACAAAATGCTTGTTTTCTGAATAAAGATTGGGTCGACCAGGCTAAGCTAACGTTGTGCTCACTCCACACTCATAACAACGGCCTACAGACATAACTAAACCAGCGACTGTATTCACCATGACACAGACAGCCTGTGGTTTGTACTTGTTTAACTTTTGTCTAGTTTCTGAACAGATATGAGCAGCTGTGAGCTCTGTGTGCTAACTGCTAAGAGCTAACGGCTGATGTTTTCTGGTTGAACGTCATTGACTGCAGGCTGAGATCCTCACCGCTGATTGGCTACCGCGAGATTGCGTCACGCGAATATGACGCTCGAGTTGAACAAATTGAACTCGAGCGTTTGTCGCGGCCCCCTTCAATCGCCTCAATCTCGGCGCGGAATTCGCGTCCACCGTTTCATGCTTATCGTCGGAGCGAATTTGCGTCTGTCCGCGTCTCTGCATTGACTTTACATGTAATCGCGCCGCCCCCAAACATCGCATCGCGTCTGGTGTGAACGCAGCATTAAGCTGTGCTTCAGGACACAAACAGCAGTCTCCTGAGGGAAAGTCTTCGTCTAACGGCCCCTACACACGGCGGCGTGCGTTGCCGCTTGGCGATGGGCGTATCTTGAGCTTGGGGAGTCAACGCGAGCAACGCGAGCAACAACCAATCACATGAATGTCCCGCCCCGGACATACAAAGCAAAGCATTCACGCTACATCCATGCTGGCTAAATATACTGTCTATGCTTGCTAGCTGTCCATTCAAACGAAGTACACTGGATATAAACTCCCCAAACAGGCGAAAACCTACCAGTGTCACCCACTGTCTCTGCCACCTCCCCCCATGCCTGGCTCCTCCGGTTTGTATCCCTGTATGTAAAGAGGGACTGGTGGTCATATAGTACCGCCACGATAATTTTTTCCTCCATTTTTTGACATATGGGAAATAACTGCGGTCTGGCTCTCCCAAAATACACACGGTTTGATTGGCTAGCGCTTGAACTGTCAGATTTGCATATGCGGGATTTGATTGGCTGACGCCTCCGTCGAGGCGGCAAAAGTAGAACATTGCTCTACTTTTGCAGCGAGCACCGCGAGAGAAGCTACGCTTTGCTCCCACAATGCAGTTCGGCGAATCGTGACGTCACCCCATTCAAAGTGAATGGGCAGAAGCGTTGAAGCGGCAACGCACGCCGCCGTGTGTAGGGGCCGTAACTGAGCCATCCATCCACCTCAACCTACTCTGTACGTAAACGTACGTGGACTTTGCAGAGAAATGTAGGTTCAGTAAGTATTTTGCATAATAATGTTAAATGTGTCTCATCGCATTAATGGATATGATACATGAACCCTTGATTAAAATGCACATTTATTTGATCATTTTAAGTACGATTTGGTAAGTAGCAGTTATTCAGTGCCATTACCAAAACTGTTGTCATCTTCTCCCAGTCAGGGTTCCCTCATTGTTCATAGTTAAAAAGTGTTTTACCCCGGAGCTGAATCATCTGGAATTATCCGCCTCCTACCCAAAACAAACGGCCCCAGCTAATAAAACTGAAAGAACACTTAATAGTGCAGTTTCAATGTAAACATCTGTTTCTTTAACTGAAGTAAACTTTAGCTTGTTTCTCAGATAACCTCAGAGAAGCCGGTGATTTCATCTTTATGGATAAATAGAACCAAGATCAAAGAATTTTAGATAATCTGTCTTAAAACTGGAAAAGAAGTTGAATAATGTCACCTTCTGGCAGAGAACCAAGACGCTGAAGCATTTTCACAGCTATACAATGACATTACAGATGAATAAATGGAACCCTGATTCACATTTGAGATTTCACTATGTCTGAATGTAGTTAAAAACAATGGGGACAGTGAACGTTAGCAACTAAAAAACAAATTTAACACTGGCCTCGTAGTTATACAAAATGGTAATGCGGTAGTGCTTCCTTTTATGATTGGATCATGGTGGTACAAAGTTAACTCCTCCTCTTCAAAACAAATGGACCCGGGAAGTAAAACTATTAGTTACTAAACCACAGTTACTCTGCTGCGAGACGCTGCACGCACCCCCAACTCTGACTGACTTCCTCCCGCGTCCCTGTGTAACAGGGAAACTGATAGAATTGGATCATAAAATCGTGGTGTTTTTGCAACTTCAGCATAGGGGATAGGGATGTTTATTGAACTTCGGATTTCAACTGATTTACCTTCGAAAGACATGTATGGCTCTGCCGCTCAGCGCTGCTGCTTGTTCAGTCTGTGGCCGTTTCTCAATCGCGACGATGCTTGCTTGGTAGCACATGTCTTCCGAGTCACTTCCTTCAGAAGCGAGGCAAGAATCCTTCCTGGCAATCGGAAAACGAAGAATGGAACAGGCTAGCAAGTGCGCCTTACATTTTCCGCTACAGATTTGGGGAAATTGGTCCGTGCGCAAAGCATTGTGGGGATTTGAAGGACGCGAAGTCTACCCATGTGCAGCCTCGAAATTACCCCCAAACCAAGGACGCGGCCTCGGTGGAATTCCATGTATACTGGAGATTGGAACAGTCCTTCTGCGGCACTCGATGACGTAGTATCCTTGAAATATTGGCTTGGAAGCCAGTTTTCTCGAGATTGAGAAATGGCCTGTGTCTGCGTTCTTTCGCACCTGCTTGTAATCTGAGAAGGTCCCGCCTTTCTGGCTGGCTCCCGCCCGGAAAATCTTCAGTGTTGATTGACACTTCAGTAATAGCCTATCAGGTGGGCGGGACATTGCTCGTGTACACAGAGTGGTGGCTGCAGCCAGAGAAACGGCCGCATCAGAGCCAAAGTTTTATCGGCAATTTGATTAAAAAAAAGGCCGATACCGATAATCGGTCAAATGCGGAATATCGACCCCTAATCTTAAATTCCAGACATCATAAAATCCTTATATGAATAAAAAAAGTTGATCAAAATCTGTATTAAAACCGGATTAAAATGATGTCGCCATGAAAACTAACCATATGAAAGCCCCATGACATTGAAACTGATGGTTTACTCTAGGTTTGAACATAAAAAAGTATATGGTTTAATGCAATAATGCAACTCAACAACATGTATTACACCGGTCTAGTCGTTTTTAGACATTTTAACGTAGAAAAGTTACAAATAATACCTTTCATGATTAGATTACTATGGTACACATTCATCATGGTGACAATTTCCACATCAAAATAGGGACTTACATTTTTAGGATTGAACAAAGACTTGAGTAAACACTGGTTGGGTTTCACACCGGAGAATAATCAACAGCCAGCTTGTCACTCCCTACAACCTGCCAAGTGTAGGAGTGGAAGCACTGACACATGTAACTGATATCTCAGATTTAATTTGACTGCTAATCACACCCAGCTACAGTTTGAGAGCATTTCACACGTCGGAGCTACAGTTTCAGGTGTTAAGCCGGTAAGGAGACATACTACTGTGCCTCTGAATGCTAACACCTCTTCAGAGACGGTCACATTTTTGCTTTATGCTCTGCCATTGTGATTATAATGATGATAATACTAACAAGAACATTAGACTCCACAGACACACACATTTTTCTTTCTTTTCAATTAAAAAGCAATCAACACTCATTTTGAGTTTTACCCGCTCAAATACTTGTAATTTCAGATCAGTGGCTATTTGAATAAACATATGTTGCTCCACAGGAGGTCACCCTGTTGTGATTCCCGTCTGAATCATAAAGCTGATAATAAGAGACGATATTCTACTAACACCTGTGTTTGTCAAATTAGAGAAAGTGGATCTCAATAATGAGGCAGAATATTTAACAAGTTACATTGAAAGAAATAAGAAAAGTAATGTACTTACCAGTGAATGTTGAAGCACAGATTAGCCCTCATGGCTCCTGGAAAACTCATCTGTAACAGAGAACATGTTCTCAAACTTTAAACTGCTCACGACAGAGAACTGAAAAACATCTCAGCTTCAGTAAGATTTTGTGATCACATCTCTGACACACCCTGCCTAAGGAAATCTGTCCCTCCAAATTCAGACTCTGTATTAGGATCCAAAAATAAAAGCTTGATTTTTGTTCTTGCTAAATAAATCCACACAAGTACATGAAAACATGATCATCGCAGCGTCAGATAAGCGCTGTGATGATCAGAAGATCAATTGTGTTACAGGATCTTTTGTGTTCTTTGTGTCTCCAAAAACCCAAAGGATTAAGCAACAAATACTCAGATGATATGTTAATAATTTATCAAACAATTAAAACAATGATTGGCCACAGCCTTGGTGTTGCCACAGTATTTTACAGGATCATTGTTAGACTAAACGTGAAGAAAAAGCCAGCACCATCAGCAAAGTTAGGGACAGCCCATTATGTTTCCTGGTTATTCTTCAACTTAAAGCTCAATTTGAACATTCAATTAAGAAAATGGTTTGCCAAGGGTATATAATTCACTTTTAAATGTTTACAATACGGAAACTGAAGCTAAGAGGATATGTTAATCAACAACCATTTTGAGAACGTTACATCAAAAGCAAAGCGTATGGATTTATGGAATACCTGGCGTTAAGAAAAAACAAGCATGTACTAAAATAACCATGGTGTCTGGGAAATTGTGTTGGATGCTACTTTAACTATTTTCTAATGATTAAACATGAAAATAAAAGATAACACTTATATACAGCCAAATGGGAACAGGCATATATATCATGAGTGAAAACAGAACAGCTATATGTTCATCACCAAGAGAAAACAGCTTTGATATCAATTCATTTCCATGCAGAGGTTTAATGAGTCTTTCAGTGATTCAGACGGTGTGATTCCATGGATGCCCGCCCTTATTTCCTCGCCTTTGATATGATTCTGCAGACCTCAATGTTCTTGGTAGATCCACCTGATTACTAAAATATCTCCTCTCTGCAGCTGTTCCTCTGCTGAGTTGCTCATTCAGGCCAGTGTTCTCCCATTTAAGTAGTCCCCGGTGTCTTCATTTATAGCAGTGTAAGCAGCCGGGCAGGCCGGCAGAGAACACAGAACTGTTTGCTATGCTGAGCATTCAGGGACTTTAAGCATCTTGGTTAAAATATGTGACCTTGTCAAGTGACATTTAATCAATTTGTGGATAAAATGCCTCGACCGTCTGATTTATTTAGTCGAGCAGTAGAACCTACACTAGCCTGATAAGCTGCCATTGACTTCCTCCTATAGCCACGTAAGCTCTTCTTATAGACACCTGCAGGGAGTCATGGACTCACTTATGTTGGTTTGATTTGATAAAACCTGAGCTGATTACAGAGATATGAGTAATGCAACTATGCTTGTTATCTCTGCTGGCAATTATTTGGTTCAATGATTGATGAAAATCACAAATTGTTTGGATAGAAGGACGGACGGACGGATGGACGGACACATTGATGGATGGATGGATCATGGATGTATGAAGCGCCATTCAAAATGAAACTCTTACCAATAACTGCTGATATGTATTCACCATCACCATCCTAGGGCATCAACATGGACATGCACATGAGTTCCAACTTACTTAATATATACATCGTGTTTACAGTTTATAAGCACAACTGCATTTTTGAAGTAGTTTTCTTTTTCAAAATTCAAAGATTCAAAGATTCAAGATTCAAAAGCATGTACAGTAGCTACAATGTAGTCCCAAGCTCCTCCAACATTGCAACATAGTTATATAGGACATAAAACAATAAAACAAATACTTTGTGATCAGGTTGACTAATTGCATGACCTATTGACCTTTCAGTAAACCATGCCAGTGTTGTCTTTTGCTATGGAAATGGAGGTCATTGTGAGGAAAGCCATCCTGAGCAAACAATGAGAACACCAAAGTACAGAGGAGCATTGTGCGGAAGTATTTTAGTTTCACACCTCAGATGGTAAAATAACTAACAAAGATAAGGCTTTGGTCAACTTTGTACAAAGCAGTGGTCTGACTACAATGACAACACATCTGCAGTCTCACCTGCTAGCTTGCCAGCAAAGTGAGGCAGCAGAGGCACCATAGACCAGCGGAGCAACGACAACCTTGTCTGTTTGCCTAACATTCTGCTCTGAGAAAATGACTGTGGGCATACCTGTGTTTTAACTTGCAACAAGTTCTACCAGATGCACTCTGTTTCGTCACTGGTAAGGCTAAAATATTTTAACAAGCTATCAATCGAAAAGTCTTCCATGTGTTAATTAAAAACTATCAATGTGTTATTTCTGCAACTGCATGTTTGACATGCTTTCTCTCTGTTGCTTGCAGGTTTGAAATTGCTAACATAAACAGCAGCTTCGCGTGAAGGGACATGCTGGGGCTTTTGATAATGTAGTCGTTTTGACCTGCAACAAAACCAATTAAAATAAATCTAAAGAATTACACCAATGTTGCGACAAATCTGTCTGGTTGCGTAGACACTCACAGGTTAACTTTATAATTACAGTGAACTTTCTGATCAAACCTATTTGCATCATTACTGAACGTTATATTAGGCTTTTACACAAACATATGTTTTTATTCTATAAAATACAACACATTGCATTGTGGGATTTTTAGTGGATAGTCGACAAATAGATAGGAGGAAGTAGTGTACATCTGTGATGAATCTGTGAGGGTATTCCACACTCAAAGGAAATGGAGGAAGGTAAATATTGTCTTTATTGTTATGCTTGCTCGGTCTTATCATTTAAGAACTTCAATATGTAGTTGAACATGTTTTGAATCAAGGCTGCTTAAATGTGCTTAGGTGCTGTCATGTTTTGCTGTGCTAGCTCTGCAGTAATAATGTTGGCAATGCGATCTCAACTTGACATGCAGAGTTTGCTTTGCCACTGACCTTACTTTTGACGTCTAACAACTTACACTATCGTCTTGTAATTTCCATACAACCACATCACTCTGTTTCTATTGGGCCATTTATAGTCAGAGATTTAAAACTTGATAAACCAAGTTTATCATGCAGCTCTACATCAATGCTTTGCATATCCTACAACAATATCAAAGTAACAACCAAGTTTATCTCGTTTGACTCCAAAGAAACCCGACTTGTGTCCACAAACTGTTTGTCCTTTAGTACAAACTGAAACAACGTAGCTAGATAGCAAGAAGCTGGCTCTGTTAGCACTTAGCAGTGACTTTATTTTTGACAGGCTCTGCGACAGTCAGCTAGCTGCTCTGCCCACAGGCTGAGCCTCAGAGACACAACTGAACCAGCGGCATATTGGAGAAACAATTTGTGTAGCAATATCGAACACATAGAAGTTGAGGTAAACTAGCTCCCAGTTGTTGGTCACTGCAGTGTTTGAATACCTTCACATCGACCCACGACAGAGACAGCGACAGCGACACACGGCAGACTAATGACCGCACTTGACTACAATGTATCCCTGCGCACATCAGAGGTTTCGAAAGGCTGTATCACCTACCTCAGGACGAAGACTGCTGTCCTCAGGTTTGTCATTGCACCTGACCCAGTTACTCGGCTCTCCACTCCGTTACACTGTCGCCATTTTGCTTTAAAATCACGCAGGTTGCACTCTGGTCCAGAGGAGAGGGATGTTCAGCAGGAGGTAGACTGCTCACCCCGAAAAAGCTTCACGTCCACTTTAGTTCCCCGACATTCAAACTTAAAACAGCTCACCATAATGACGTTACTACTTAACTAAAGCGACACATGGCGCCATATTTTGAAAATGGTTGGGAACAGATGTGACAACACAATTTATTTGAGTGAGGTTCATGACCTTGAATGCATCCTGATATCAAATCAATTTAGCCTACAACCTACGTTTTCGTTCAGAGATACACAGACTTGTTCTTGCTAGTGGACTCACTATCAAATGAGATATAAAATAGGAATATTTTATATATAATAATTGTGTAAATTACTGATTCCCAACCAGGGCTAGCATTTGCACCCCAGGGGGTGGGCTACTTTTGCAGTTGACATGGACTATTTGGGATGAGCTCCACTGCATTTAAGCTAAATTGAAAAAACAAATAGAATAAATACAGAACAAATCACAAATGATTGGCAAGGGTTAAAAATAGCTAAAAGTAGTTGATAAATGGTTGGATAATTAGATTGCCAAAAAGTGGGAGCTGGTTAGATAATCTTTGCTAAACTTAACGACTTAATGTCTGAAATAGCTAACATGTATGCATTAATTGTTGACTGAGTTAGCTTAAAGTAATGGATACATAGTTGAATTTACCACTCTGAGCTCGTCTTTTTATGAATGAGAATGTGACCACATTCTCAATATTGCCATTCAATGGTATGAGAAAGTATTTTCACAATATTCACTTTTATTCCATTAATGAAGGGTAAACTGCTTTCAAATGAACATGTTGGAAACACGGAGGGTATAATATTGTTGAATAGTCTTGACACTCTTCATTTGAAATGGCTGTGTCTGTCGTAACTGTGTCATCCACAGTGTAACTTGGACAGAAGGGATTACATGTGTCTTCTGTGACCATTAACTGAATTTCAAAATGGTTGTATAACTGGTTAAAAAAGAAAGAATGTGTGACTGTTGTATATTTAATGTTGAACTGCTTTTGTACAAGAAAAGCAGTGAGCGTTAACCCTCGTTTAAATTGTCGGATAATGATGCAGAATGCATGCTGGAAATACATTATTTATACTGTCACATGTTTTTTTTCTTTCCGGCCCAAGTGTGATTTTCATGATTCCGCAGAAGACCATGAGACCATTTAAACCTCATCAGTCATTAAAAATGCAGCATCATGTGTAGTAGAACAGGTGTTATTTATTACAATTATTTCTTTTTTACTTTAAACTTCAATGCAGGTTTTTTATTTATTTGTACCTGCTGTTTATTGATAACATTAATTTTGCCATAATCAATATGTAAAACATTTTGTAAATGTATTTTTTTCTGATTACCGTGAAGGAAACAAATTATCATAGTTGTTGTTTTTTTTATGTTGACATATGTGTCATTGAACTATGCAGGAACCCAAGCTTTAAGCATGGTTAACTTTATATCTGATTGTCCCAACGATACATTGCATTGCACTATATTGTCCCTGTAAATTGGCCATAACTTTGCTTTAGGTCCACATATGCAATATATGCTTCTACAGGGTATATATCCTGTATCCAATGACGTAAAAGCAAATATTCCAAACACATATATTTATTGTTTATAATATTACAGAACATTTTTGCTCTGTACTTTGAGGAAACAGTGTGTGGTGTCTGGAGTGGTTGATTGGATTGCTAATTCTCATATTCATAAACATATGAAACATTGATTGGATTAAGCAAACAACTAACACATCTTTGAATGTACATTGCTCCAGTGACTGCTATTATCAACAAGAAGTAGTCTGCAGACAACAAAAATGTATCCAGATTGGTTGAATATTTATAGAGTGGGCAAAAATATGACTTGTTTATTTTAGCTAAATTATTTAATGTGTAGAATGCAGATCATTAATATTGATATATTGAGAAACTGTAAGACCTAAATATTTGTGCATACATATTTATCTACTCCATGCCAGTGTGCATTAGCTCTGGGTTTAGCTGCTTATTCAACAGAGATGTGTTTCGTTCAAAGCTATTTCCAAGTCACTTACTGTATTTGTGCTTGCCTCTCTGTGATCTGAGGTTATCAGCGTACCCACCCATACAGCAGACAACACAAAGTGATTCCGAGGAGTGCGTTGTCTTTTTGTGTGAGATATAGGGATTGACACAAGCCTTCTGTTTTCAGAGCATCAAGTAATTATTTTAATGGCCTACCAACTGTGCACTCCAAAGTTTGATTTTGCTCTGCAAAATGAGAGCAAAAAAAAAAGGATCTCTAACAATTTATTATGCTGTTTGTGCCTCGCTTCACTAGTTATCGTCTGCAATTTATTCCCTACCTTGGGGTACTGCAAGCCATTTTTCTCCATTTTCAGTGGCTCACTTTTTTTTTCTTGATCCTGCATGCTGCTGACTAAACTCCTGCCTCCAGCCATGGTGTTGGAACATCACAGAAAACTACATCATTATACTGAAGCTAGTTAACAAAGAGAGGCAGAGAACCAGTTTAAATCACCGGGGCACATGACAGTGTGAGGAATTACTGAGTTCACTATCTCAGACGCAGCTATTCATAGCCTGTCTCTCTTCTGTAGCTCAGGTGAAATGACTCTCTAATGAAGGCTGCAGACCTCGGTTTGATTCAAGGTCGCCACCTGACCACTCATTTATATTTGAAATTCATATGTTCTATTATATATTATGTTTAACTCCAAACATGAGTCCCATATCTGTATCAGATGCTTGCAAATGAGGATCTTTTCCCATTCATTCACATGTATTAATACATTATTAACACCTGCTTCCCCTGCTGTGACAGGTCATAAGGTCTGTCCGGCTGGCTACTTTCTGTAAAAACATGATTTATCTGTGACTTCAAAGATGAGAGAAATGTCCCTCTTAGCTTTCTGGAGTGCCATATATCTATACTGTACCTTATATTACAGGTAAATATCCATTGTTTAAAATGTTAGTTAAAGGAATGCTTCATCCCCAAAATGATCATTTGTATATCAAATAATCACCTGGTGTTACCTTTAATTCTTTTAGTTAATCGAGGTTGCACAGGTGCACAAAATGTTTCTCCAGAGGCCTCAGAAAAGACAGATTTATGAAAAAAGAATGACCATAATTAAGACAGCAAAGGCATAAATATCCTGACTTATGGTTAATGGTGTGTCTTTTTGTCTGGTAAATGCCTTCCAGACTCCATAGACCCAGTAGGTTGCACAAAATAATCTAAATATCAGTGATGCAATCATCCTTAGACTTTACAAAGCATAGACATTAATATTGAGCAGTTATACGCTCCTCATTATGATCGTGTGGAAAATCAGTGCCTCCACCATGAACCTACACCTTTAACAACAATTATAGACTCAACACACATTTACTACACATGGGCATTACAAGTTAAACATTGAAACTTTAACATAAATCATGTACGTTTACGATAATGATGAAAGCATACATGCAGTACTGTAGATTTACCACAAGGTGGCAGAGGGCAGCTTACTGTGTCCATTCCTAGTATGTCTTTTGAAATTAGTCTTAACTACCATTAAATCACTGCTCACAAATTGTATTTTGATATGCAAAACGCTTCTTAAACGCATATTATATGCTGTTTTAATCCTTAATATCAGTAAATATGGCATATTAAGGCTTTTAATAATATTCTTAAGAGATTATCAGGCACTCGCTGGCTGTGTGCTTATGTGGGGTTTCAGCATTATCAAATATTAATTTTTCTAAACTTGCTCTTTTAAGAGGACTTCTTTGATGTTGATGTGATTTTTCATCAGCTAAGCAGATCTCACACAGTGGTATCTTCTGGAAAGCAGTGGGCCATGATTCATTGATGAGCCATGGAGCGCCGATACTCACATTCTAATGCTTGTGCAAGATCTTAAGCACTGCTTAGTGGTGGGATGAATGGAACAGAGTGGTATGGTGCTGGGCTGCTGGCCTCACACTGATTTAAAGGGCTAAGTAGAGGGCGAGGAAAACTAATCTGTCAACTTTGTATTCATTTAAAATGCTTAGAAATCAACCAAAGAAGAGGTTTAAAAACTGTAGATATCAGGGCTCCACAGACAGATAAACAGCTAAAGGTCAAAGTCACAACAACAAAAACGTTTTTTGTCCCCACTATGAAATAAACAAGCACCACTTTGATGCCATGCATGTTTTTTTGGCGGAGAAAGAAAAAACAGGAAGAATATTACTGAGGCAATTATGACAAAACAGAAAGTTTAAGGTTATCATTATTAAATTATTCATTTCTGACAATGTCGGCCCTCAGAGTTTGGGAATTGATCTCTCTGTAAACACGCTTAAGCAAGTGAGATTGACATAAATTGGGGAGACAAGCCCTCTTTTGAGCACTCTGCATTCTCTTTCATGTTCCTCACTGTGGGGGCTGAACACTGCTAATAAAAAAATGGGAAGACCTTGGGCGAGTAACACGGGCTGATTAGTTTTGTACACTGGAGACAAGCAGTGCTTTGGAGTCTGCTATGATATTTGTTTTATTCTCGCAAGGAAGAGAAATAAAGAGAATGCTTAAAGTTTTCACCAATGTGTTTGTTCTCTTCAAAGCGCACAGAGATCTTGTGAGTCAGATGTTGTGTGTGCATGCTCATTATTTCACCTCCTCCATAAAGAGAATAGAGGATGACCCTGGCCCTGTTGTTAAGTTAATTCTTTTGCACCAAAAGAAAATAATAATAGATGCTGGTGTGGGTAACAGTGAGGTCACACTGGGACCCCCTGTCCGCCTTGTTATCCGGGACTAGATGAGGATCTGGCCCCTTTGGAACACACTAGTCTGCTTGAATTAGATATAGCAAGAAAAACAAGGGCTTCTGTAAAGTTCCTCACTAATGGGATAATTGATTGACAGACTGTGAGCTTTGATGCAGCTGATTTATTTACTGTTGCACTCGCATGCTGCAAAGCTTTCAATTTAATCGAGAAACAATTGGGTATAAGGGGCAGCAGTGCCATAGGGGGTGTGAAGTGATGGGACCGTTTTAATGATCCCCCCCACCAGAGAAATTAGATCCATTGAGTCTGTTTTCTCTGTGATCTCACTATAGAAGTACATAGTCATCATCTTGTCTGTGTAAAT